TTTCTTTGCCGGAGTGTCACATCACTCCAGGCATAGACCATCGTTGGAGGATATTCGAGAGCTTGCAGATAAAGGACGCCTCGTCACTGACGATGGCCTTTGCCTCTTGGTACAAAATAATACCAAGCCCCCGGTCTCTTCTGACCGTCCCGGAGGACCAGCTGCACGTCTGTTGTATGACGAACCCACTCGTATTTACGTGCCCATGTTAATGCGACCTTGGGTCATGCAAGCTTGTCATGCCAACGCCCTCTGCCACCTTGGTACCGCTCGCACGCTTAGCTTGCTTGAGAGGTTTTACTGGTGGATTGGGACGAGTATCAGTACTCGTTGGTGGATTCGGCGATGTTTGAAATGTCAGGCCCGCAAAACTGCGCGCCAGACTTTTCGCTGGCCGATTCTCACGATCCCTCTGCCTTCGGCACCAGGGATCGCGATGAGCGTCGACTATTTTGGTTCGCGTCCCACAATTCCGCGAGGTTTCTCGTATATTTTGCTGTTCGCTGACCGTTTCAGTCGGAGAGCCAATATGTACGCCGTGACTGACGCCGAGTTCACAGCTGAAGGTACAGCTGAGGTCCTTGTCAATAAATACATGCCTGTTTGGGGATGCCCCCTCAGCATTCTTTCTGACAACGGATTGCAGTTTTGCTCCAAACTTTCGGTTGCCATCCTAAAATTGCTACTCGTCCGAAAAATTACGACGAGCGCGTACCACCCTAGCGGCAACGGAAGGGTTGAGCGCGTGAACCACACCATGGCCCAGATGCTGGCGATGGTTGTCAACGAACGACAAGATGATTGGGACGTTCATCTCCCTCATGTTGAATTCACGTACAGCAACTCCGTTAGCGCTGCCACAGGATTGGCGCCCAATGAGGTGCATATGGCGCGTCTTCCCAGGTTTCCACTGACCGTTTTTGACAACACGCTCGTGGTCACCAGTCGCTTGCCCGCGATCAGCTCGAGTATTGCAACCTCGCCGCCGATCGGCAACGGCGCTCCTACGAGCTAGTGCGTGAACAACACGCACTCACAGTTTCCCGTATGGAAAGACGGAAACTCGAAACTGTCTGACGCCTTATACAAACTACCCGTTTACGCTACCGGTGGTTGGGTGTGGGTCTATAGCCATTTGGCTACCATCCGCCAAGGTGGCAAGCTCACTTCCAAGGCCCACGCAGACGCTGACTCCCAGGTACTCAAGAAGAAGCTGTCCTTGAATTGGACAGGTCCTTTTAAAATCCTCGCAGTCGGTCCTTGCAACAAGGCTCCCGATGGCAGCCCGGTGGCTGACAAGCTCCTGTACTTGGATCTTCCCTCCGATGTGCCCGGAGTGGATGCCAAGCGCCGAGTTTCTGTCGCTCGTTGCAAACCGTGTGCGAACCCACACGATAGTGACGACATGCCTCGGTTTTTGCCTGCAGGCCTCACGCAGTATGTTCTCAACAACTACACGACGAAGTCTACGCCGTACCATGTTACCGCGGACGATGTTTCGGCGCCTGTCCGCAGGCTAGAGGTTGAGAAAATCACGGGACACCAGTCGGTTCGAGGACGTGGCGGCGTCATCGCAGTCATGTACGAGACCCACTGGAAAGGTCTTATGCGGCCCTCGTGGGAACGAGAAATGGACCTCCGACACTCCCGAAAACAGATTCTTCCGTATTGGGCTGGTACACCCGACAAACACCGGCAGACTAACCGTCTGTATCGTCGCATGCGCATTGGCGCAGCGGAACGTGAACTGTCTCGCATCAAAGGCGAGCGGTCCTCGTCGCCGGGGTACGAATATGTTCCCCGCGATGTTTGGGCCCGCCGTTTTCGCAACGCCGTGCTGCCTGTTGGCGCACACTTCTGGTACAAGGCTCAAGACGCTCTATGGTGGCTAGGAAAAATCTCCGGACATACTCCAAATACGTCTTCTTCGTTCGCTTCCTGGATGACCCTGGACCTGTCAAGATCACCCTCTCCCCTTCGCGCTAAACGACAGCTTTGGGAGCTGTTTGTGGTTCTTGGTGCCTTCAGCTGCACCGAAGTAGTCCCTTCATGCGAGGTATCTTGCGCAATGAAGACGAATCGCGTGGTACGTATATTATTGCCCCTGGCTAAAGGACGTTGCCCTTGCCCTTGTTTCATGTGTATGTATATGTATGTGTATATGTTTGTGTGTTATATGTTTGTGTTTATGTATGTTTGTCGGTATGTTTCTAGCTCGCCCTCTCGATCTATTTTCGAGACTGGCTATTGCTTCTGTATGTTTCTAGCTCGCCCTCTCGATCTATTTTTGAGACTGGCTATAGCTTCTGTATATTTCTAGCTCGCCCTCTGGTATATTTTTGAGACTGGCTTTTGCTCCTTTATGCTTTCCGCTCGCCCTCTCAATCTCTTTGAGACTGGCTCTTGCTTTTGTGTTGCGTTTTCTCGCCCCCGTTTGTCACTGCTCGGTCGGTTGTCGAAAGTTTTCGCTTCCCTTTCCCTATTTTCCAATGCGACCTAGGTTCGTCATTGGTTGCGGTGACACCCAACTTTGTGCGTCGTTTAACCCCCTCCCTATGGTTTGCTCCGTCTCGAAATGGACGCGTGGTCAATGGTCAAATGACTACGGCAAGCAACAAATGAGTACACCCCCCCCTATGGTTTGCTTTGCATATTTTATGGTCCAACGTTCTGCCAGTGCTTTTATTGCATGCCACGGCCAACGTGTTCCATCTTGCTACTTTATTTAGCATCTTTCTCATGAAATTGACCTTGACGTACAAGTAGGATCGTTTTTTCACGCGCCCCCCAATCACGTTGTATCGTGACATGCGAAAGTTTGTTTTTGGCGTTTGGTTCCTGTCCTTTTCTTTGGCCGTTGTTTGCTTTCCCCGGAAACCCCATCTTTTCCTGCTTTTCTCGATTTTGGCTGACCCCTAACGGTTTCCCATGTCGTTTGATCCTTTGCAGGCTCGGTTTTCGTTTCTTATTCTTTATGTTTACATTTCAGCACTCGATCGCATCATAGCCCCCCTTCCCGTAAGGTTCTGGCTTACTTGATTGCGTATTCGATCGGTTCATTCGTGCGAAATCGTTAGTGATTTTCTCTTCACGATTTCGTTACTTCGTGTTATGGTCTTTTCGGTTCGGATGTTTTGGTTATTTTTCGCACCCATGTGCCTTTTCCCGATTTTATCCGTCGACTTTGGCGCCCCGCGGTTTCTTCTTTCTTGGTTCCGCTTCTTTGGTTTGGTTAACGTTGAGGTGGGGGTGAGGGTTTTGAGTTGTCGTATCTTCGATCCATCCCGCAATCCTCTTGGTTGACTAGAGGCCCTCCGAGGTTTGCTTCTGTATCTGCATCTACGTCCACTCAGGGTGGGCTATTGTTATGGTATTTGGAGGTAGACAAGTGATCGTGGTTGATCATGGTTATTTGGCGCCGTCGGATGATAAGACGTGACGTCATGCTAGATCAGGGCTTTATGCCGAGACGTGTGCCCTTCTGTTCAGCGTGTGCGTACAGGCGATCTTTGATCGTGTGTGCGTGGGATATTGTGAGTTGGCTTGGAAAGCGTTAATCAAGAGAAAGAGACAACGGAAAGCAACAACAACCTGCTACTGTGGTCGGACAAGAGAGTTCCACACAGCTCTAAGGTGGTTGATTCTGAAGGAAGGAGTCAAATACCATTACACGGTACGTAGGCTCTCTCCCGCAATTATGTCGTGCAAACTACTTTCAACATATCCCTTTCGACTGCTATGCCGTATTTCTCGAACAGGTAGACTATTCTTGGCAAACGTAGTCCCCGTGTTCGAAGAGTCATCTTTTGGAAATACAATATTGGAATGAATCTTGCGTCGAAGTGGACACTTTCTGCTGACATGATACGGCAACACATGTGCGTGTTGTATGCTGGGAGCCGTCCTGTCACAGCAAGAGCTTTATGTGTCTCCATCATGTTGCCGCCACGCCATACTCGATTTTCTCCAATCACTTGCTGGATGGATGTACACACACGATGACGCGCCCACCACCACTTTCGGAAGCTCTTCGCTCTCATGTAGAGCACCGCCAATGCAGCCGCCACGGAAGACTTGTAGTGCACACTCACATTGATTCGCAGTTCCGTTGCCTCCCGCCAGCTATCGCACTCCCTTCCAAACCCGCAAGCCAGGACCTGTGCTGGAACTCAACTTGACCCCGAGGTACGACCAATGTCCTTCGTGGTTGGCGTGTGTTTCTTCAGAGGAAAAACAAGGAAAGCCAAGCAACGCGGCTGTGTTTGATGGATGATGGATGATGGATGATGGATGATGGATGTGCGGATGTTGGTGTTGAGTTGGTCCCGCCCGAAATGCGGCGTAACTTCAAAAAAAATACACCGCGTCCGTCCGTCCGTACGTACCGTACGTACTATTACGTACCCATCCCACGTCTTAGCGGTCTATCTAAGTCACCCGTGAGTCCTGTGTCCTGTGTTGTGTATGCATGCATGCCTCCGTGCGCGGTCCTGTGCAGATCATCTCGCAGCAAGAGATACTCCAAATGCTACCGGGGCAGCAACGTCCTCCAACCTTGCTGTGCTGCCACGCAGCAAAGTGTTGCTCTGTACTACCGACACGTGTCAACTGTTGTAACACAATTCGCCATTGGGTACTATAGTCGAACCAGTGAGAGTACAACTTCACTCCGAGTCTGGAGTGGAGACACACATTTCGAACAACAGCTTCGTGATGAGCCACGCAACAGTATGGTTGGCTGATTTTCGGCAAAAGAATAGCCCGTAGGAACTTCGCTGTGGCTTGCATCCGCGGCTCACTCACGAACATGTTTCACAGAGTAGATCTCTTCCTACGGGCTTTTCTTCTGCCGAAAAGCCAGCGAGACGCCGAGCACGGAGACCATCGCAGAGCCCACACACGTGAATGGAGGAGCACTAAACCTTGTTCGTTATCAAGGAGGCGCACAGGGATACGATCGTATTTCGTAGTTGGTCGGCAACACCGCCCTTCAAAAATCTCGCGCTACACCAGTACGTATTATTATTTCCGACGAACCGTGCCTCTCAAGAAGTGGAGCCGTGCGTGCTTGACACCCCGGCTCTTCGACGCTGTCTCTCACCCGGGACACTTGGAGACAGAAGAGGGCAAACCTCTTCACTTGAAAAAGGAAGCCGATGCTTCGAGAAGCATACCACACAAATACAACAAAACAACTTCCATGAAACTGACGAAGGTGAGCATGGCCAACAACCCCCAACATGGGATGAAATCTGCTTGGTTCACCGCGACCACGATGCCACAGGCTGCCAGCAAAGCATCAACATGGTAAAGAAGTATAAAAAATACTGGATGGCACCACGACAACAATGTAGTAAACGAAGAGGCGGCAACACACCGCAGGGAATAAAAAGTAGCAAAGAGAGCAACCACGCAAGCACGATAGCATTACTGAAGTTCGACCAATGGGTATTCTGTTGGGTGTCTTCATTTGCCTAACGGGTTGAACTCGACAAACCGAACGATCAACGAAATACAGCACTTCACCAAGCCACCCAGACACAGTCCGCAAATCAGCCATGTTGGCACCAGGGAAACGTCCGAACTACACTAGTATGCATATGTACGATTTTAAAACGAAGACATGGTGGGATCCGGCTTGTGCCCCGGCAGTGGCTCTGGTTGGTGATACGGTGGATTCATGGTGTCATTCGACGCCAGACTCTGTCGAAGGAAATCCCCGCGCTGTGCCCGCAATCTCTTGTTTTGCTCGCGACTGAAATGTTTGCGTTCGTCATCGGGGAGGACAACACAAACGCAAGGGGAGCAAAGGGGCGGGCGGAAGGGCGGCCAGGGGGTGAGAGAGGATATCAGCAGCGGTTCGTGTGCCTCTACGTTACGAGCTCAAAACTGAAGTCGCTTCTTCCCAACACCCCGTTTGACCCCCTCTTCTAGCCTCCCTCCGACAAGGCTATTTCCTGTCTCCATGCTCAAGTGCGGCGTATTCTGCTCTTCTGCTTCCATATCTCTCCCTCGCGTCCTCCCCCCGGACGCCTCGCCGTTATCTTGCCACTTGCCAGAGCCACGCCCGAAAAACAAGAAGCCACCGAAGCCAGGCCGACCTCTGCGCGACGCTCCTCCACAACACCCACCTCCTACTATTCAGAACGCGCGAAATCAATCAAGCAACCCATACCCAGCCAACACCTTTAACCAACCCACGACCCTCCTCTCGTCTACGCTAGCGGCCGTTTTCTCACTTGTACAGGAACATCAAGAGCGCCACGCCGAGCAACACGGTGAAGAACGCCCACGCCACCACGGTACCCCTGCTTGTGCCACTGCTGCTGCTGCTGCTGCTGCTGCTGCTGCTGCTGCTGCTGCTGCTGCTGCTAGACGACCCTCCGGGGGATGGCGTGGCGCTGGGTGGTGCCGGCGTGCCGCTGGGGCTTGGTGTCGCCCCGGGGCTGGGTGTCAACGCTGGGCTCGGTGTCGACGCGGGGGAGGGGGTGGCACTCGAGCTTGATGATGACGCCACCCTGTTCAAAGAGAGAACAGGGTTATGTGGAGTATTGATTTCGATGTTTCAGTGTCGCAGATACCGTGCAGAGGGAAAAGTTTTCGATGGTTGCGGGAGATGCTTTACAAACTTGTTTACCGAACACAGCACAAGCAGCAGTCGATGTTGTCCAATGGGACAACTACAGGGTGAAAATTCTCTTCCTTTTGGATCCACGGCCAAGAGAAAGACTACTGCTGCACCTAGTTCAGGTAGAGCCCAGCGTAACAGTGATGAAGTTTATAGCGTTTTGTCAAGTGTGTTCTACTCTGGTCGAAAAAACAGCTCAAAATGGAGGCCGATCGCCCAGGAGCAGGCTGCATTGGACGGGACGTGAAGAGTATCGACCATCGACCTTCCCACACTGCCAAGCTCGAGACAAGAATATTGGGCCATGTTATATCAAAACAAAAGAAGCTAACAAGTACACTGCCTCGGCGCGTACTCCACAGCCATAAGCTATTGCTCGGCCTTAGCTTCGCGTAGGAAAGCTAGGCTGAGCCCGATTTGTGACTCAGGGTAGTCGGTAGGTGCTATGTAAACCAGCCTGCATAAAATAACTGCCACAATCCCACAACATCAGCACGGCGGGATGCTGTGCTCTCTTGGACGTTGTCAATACCAGCTGGAAAACGGTCCATTCGCAACCGCGGCAGAATGGGAAAAAACGCTGAGCATTATGCTTTTAAGATGGGTGTGAGTAAACCTTCACGCGTTATAGCGGGCGCAAGGTCTATACAACACTACACTAGGGCATGGTATAGAATCTAGTAAGGAGTGTTGGGTTCATGTGGTACCACATCGGTTATACACAACAGAGGCAAAAAAACACAACTATTAATTGACAGAATTAATAAGCAGATTTTTTATGAAGAGCGACCCATTTTTGTTTAACCAGAAAAAAGCGGTTTAGAGGGATATTGATGTATATGTACGTACATGAGAATACAACAAAGGCCGTACAGGGGGGGGGGGGGGGGCGTACTCTTATGTTTTGCATGCCTTAGCGGTTAGACCATTGACCACGCGTCCTCGAGAGGACGGAGCATTGTTCCCACAGGACCGATCACCGATGGCCAATCGTTCCTTCCTACTTTGCCAAAGGTGGCTCAAAAATGTCTTCCCTAGTCTGTCTATCCTAACGATATCCCGCACGGGGTGGGGCACTTTTGCACTGAGGGTGTCCGGTGTCCGGCATCTGTCTGTCTGTGCGGCGATGAATACACAGGAGATTGGAGCCCATGTCACCATCTAGGCACCAAATTGCGATCTAAAACTTGTGCACAAGTAGCATTTTGCCCGAGCTGTCCCTCCCAACTGCTACCTTTTCAATCGGTGGTCGGTGCGTCGAGAAAGCACAGCATCTGCGCTCATATAATCTAGGATTAACGCGTCCCCGTAAAAAAAAAAACAGGCAGGTGTGATTTATTCTGGTTCCGCCGGTGTGCTGTGGCAAGACATAGTTTACACAGAGACAGGGCTAATGGACAAGGGGGGCGGGAGACACACACACACCACCGGCAGAGCGAGGCGGGAATGTGTACGCTGTTATTATAGCTATCGGCGGAGGGAGAGAGAGGAGAGGAGAAGAAGCGTTGGTTGGGTTGTTGTGCGTTTTGTGAGCGGCAGCGTTTGTTGTCATCAGCGAGAGAGAGAGGACAAGAGGCACACCAACACGCTGCTAGACACCACCATTGATGCATGTACTGCTGTATACCTCTCTATACTTGAGTGCGAGGGCCTAGGGTGCCACCTGTGCCTTCCGTGTGCTAGTCCGGTCACAAATCACACGCTTTGAAGTTGCCTTAGATCAAAGCTCGAACCAGAGAGAGGAACAGAGAGAGTTTTGTTGCGCTGCTGCAAATGTAGCTGATGATAACACCCCCCCCCCTCTCTGTAAATCACACCTGGCGCCCCCCAACTCAACACTGTTGTTGTGTGGTATAAACGAGCCAATGGTAACAACGCACGAGCCTACTGCAGACTGCGGGTACTTTTTTCCACAAAGAAGCTACTGCTGTAGTCCACCTCACCCTCTTTGTAGAGAAAAACACCGACGGTGGAACGCCGAATATCACCGCACGCTAAAGATGGTTGGTTGGTCTCACAGGTCTCAAAAGAGTGTTGATGCAACGTAAAAAAACAAATCAAAGGAGGGTGGGCAAGCGTGTGCAGTATCGAGCTAGAGTACAGCCGAGGGCAGAGGAAGAGATGGATATTCACGTTGTGACGAGCGGGTGCTCCAATAGCGGGTGAGACAGCGGTACAGGGTTGAGAGCAGCTGCACACATAAATATCCCGCGATTTCCCGACACCACACACCCAGCATAATGGGTGAAGACGTGTCAAGACAGAAGACATTGATGGTACTGTCGCTCGCCACTCGATAGTAATGGAATGTGAACGGTACTGTTCGCTCGCCAATCTTTCGCCCCCTGGGTGCACGATAGCACCGTCGGTCACAGAGAGCGGACGAAAGCAGTGAAGCAGTGCACGGTTATTGACTTGCACCGCACTCTCAAAATTCAGGAGCTCGTGCAATACTCATTCAACCAGGTACGCGGCCTCTAGACTCACCCTGGGTTGAGGAGACAGCTACACAAGAATGCCAGTGCCAGCATCCATCCTTTCCGAACCTGCATGTTGGTATCTTGGGACTGCTATATGGTGACAGCAGAATGGATTTTGCCTCTCTCGGCCCTGGTGGCCTGCGGCTCCGATCTGACGGAAATAGCAAGGGTACAAATGCCAGTAATTTATTCTCCTATCTGCGTGCCCTCGAGCAGCAGCAAGCACGGCGGTGTGTGTAGCACCACAGAGCATCCAATCGCCAACGACACGTGTCAATCCCTCCCTTGACCTGGCAGCAGTCACACCCGAAAATGGCGAAGTTCGCGGACGCCAGGCGCCGACTGCCACCGCCCTGCAAGAGATGGTCGAGACTGCTGCCACACTCGTGGTGTGCGGTGCTGCTGTCACTCGTTCTCGTTCTCTTCTTCTTGGAGACAAGGGGCGGCTCTATCGTCGTTGCCGCTGCTGCGGCCACTGCGGGAGCAGCCGAAAGCGGAAAGGCGAAGACCGGCGGCGGCCTCGGGGCGCCGGCGAGCGACATCATCACGGTTACCAGCGAGAACTTCAAAGAAACGGTGCGTATGTTTTTGAATTGGGGGCATTGTTGTTTATCCACCCCGATCGCCTTCTCGTCGTTGATGCTGGTTCACTGATCCCCGGTGCATGTACTGCTGTACACAGCATCCAAGGCACACAGCGCATGCCGGCATCGTTCTGTGGAGACATGTACGTACAGTATATCGATTGATAATCTGTGGGAATGGATGTCTCTTGTCCACTGTTCTGTCTACCCCCCACTCATTGTGCAGTCCAGGTCATGGCTACGATGTATATCCTCGCAGCGGAGAGATTGACTGTTTGTGGTCTGTCGTCGGAATCGACATTTTGTTGTCTCTGTAATTTAACTCCAACCGTAAGGAGGCCGGTGCCTTTGAGCACGAACACAGCTACGGAGGTATTGCAGTGGTGCTTCTTCATCCACATTACTATGTAGCTGGTGAGGATGGCACAACGTGGACGATTTATCGGCGAGCGCTGTGAGGGAGCCGCTGCCCAGCGTGCTTCCTTTTCTCCTCCCACCCACCCACAGCAGGAGCATCCCCCATGAAGGAAGACATGGTGATGATTCTACATACTCCACACAAGCTCTCCTTTTTGTTTTTCGTGCATCCCCAATGCTACGCTGCTTCAATAGATGCCGCCGCCGCCGCCGCTCCCGTTCCCGCTGCTGCTGTTTCAGCTTTGAAACACGAAAACGAATTTCGACAATAGCTGGTGCTATTTTAATCATCTTAGCCTTGAGGTATAGCTGAATTGTCCGAACGGTTGCTCCGAGCTCACATGCATGTTGTGCGTATGAGCAAGATGGCCGACAAGCGCCCACGGTGGTACTACTCTGTAGCATGCACACGGCAGGCCAGTAAGTGATTATCACATCCCGAACGGCAGTGGCTCGCACGCATCAGCACGAACAGCTCGCCGATGTTGCTGCAGCTCGTGTGCTACGTAATTTTTTCTGCTCGCTTCTCGCTCGGTCCCCCCGATATGCGATCCGCTTTCTGCGGCGTTTTCGTTTTCAAGCATCCCACATAAAAGTACTTCACTATTGTACTGCTGTAGTTCCCAGCTTCAAGCAACACTGGGTCCTGCTCGGCGAGGACCCCCCCGCCCCCCCCCCCCCCCTCAAAACGCGCTTCACCGTTCACGCCTCCGGCTCAACTCCCTTTGTTCCCTTCGATATCATCTCATCAAAACGCGAAAAACGCGCTCCTTTGATTGACCGCGGTCCTGATATCCGACACAAACGACCTCCGCTCGCGACGATTCCAGCAGCGCGGAGCACGTTACATACGTACTTCGAAGTGTTATTCTGCACATCCCTCGTAAGGTAGTGCTGATCTTGCATACGGTATTTCCTCTGCAACTGCAGATAAACATAATTTCCCTTTACAGCAGTATCGGGACGTTTGGTGGGCATTCTTTGTCGCATATTTGGTGAAGGGCATATTCAAGACTGCCCGCCTTGCGAACTGTGTATGCAACAGCACGACCGCGCCGCAACCCGTGTAGTTTCGTTTTCAGCGACCTATGGTGGGTGGGCCGTTGTCACAGGACCCTCGTCCTGCCAACTGTAGTACACTCTCCTGGTCATTCTCTTTCATGTACCTCGTACTTCCTTCTATGGTTGAATTGTGCTGCTGTATCGCGGCGCTCACAGAATTGTGCTACAAATAGTCATCTATCCATTTGCTAGCGCGCTAAGAATCCATCGAAGTGTGTTAAGTGTGTGTTTCTGTGCTGTTGTTTTTAGAGGGACCCTTGACTACCGTTGCCTCCACCAATCTCCCTCTCCTGTGTTTCTGTTGCTTTGGCCGATGTCCTCTCCGCAGATAAAGGAGGGTACGTGGTTCGTCAAGTTCTACACCGATTGGTGGTAAGTTGCGAGCCGCAGCGTGAGGCTTGGTTAATTTCATTCTTGGATGGGTTGATCTAAGACGTGTGGTACAGACCGCTGAACTCATTTCTGCTTTCAACGTGCTGGTGAACGATCTAGTCCAACACGCCGTCAACACGGAGATGAATGCGCCAGCCAGCCGTATTAATTGGCGGAATGAGATGGAACAAGACAAAACCGGGGGGAGGGGGGTCGTATGGAGGGAGTGAGAAGTTGCTGACCGTAAATAAGAGAAAATCCGCCCGTGGGTGGGGGAACGCTAGACACTGTTGGCCGCGTACAGGCTGTTTGATATGTGCCTTGGATGGCGTGTTGTGCCGTGCACGTTCGAGAGATGTCCGCGGCCAAGTTCGGAGGAACGTCCGGATTGGGAGTGCCTGTAATCGTGGTGGCTTTGTAGCCCCCTCTGCCAAAGCCTTTTCTCTCAAGACTCACCGTTCGCGTTCAATGCTTGGTGCTTGGGGTGGGAAGTTGGTGCCCGGGTGGAGCTGGCGTCTGTGGGACAGCGGACGTGATACTGGTGCTTTGGTGTTCAGTCTCACGCCTGGTTGGGTATCCCACCAACGGGCCTCTGTGTGTCGAGCGCGCCGTGTCCTGCACCATCGCGTACTCGCAGGGACGTCGCGTTGTGTATTGTTCTGTTTTGCGCTTCTGTTGCTCAGACCCTCGCCCTAGCTTGACCCGTTTTGCGCGGTGGTCATCGTAGAGTTGTCGCGCGTTTGCTGTCCCTTCCCGACCCAACCCCTACCCACCCTGCCGCGAAATCCGCAGCAAACACTGCCAGCGGCTACAGCCCACGTGGGAAGAGCTGGCGACAGAGCTCAAGGGAAAGGTACGTCGCGATTCGGGCGGACGGTACAAGGGGGATCCCACGCCATCGTGGCATTCCTCTTGTGGGTGCCGGTGTGAAAAGTATGCGACACAGAATGCATGATAGAAGCGAGCGTCGTCGAAAAGAGATGCTGGCGAAGTACATGTATGTCTAGTTAGGATTTGTCCGACCTCTCCACGATGATACACAAGCGCAGATCATACGTTATCTTCGACGCCAACTGCTGTGCCTGGAGATCCGTACGCGTGAGCGCGCCCATACGGACGCGACCAGGAGTGATGGCCTGTAGCTTCCGACGATGCAAATATTTTTTACTGCTGTTGCAGTGTGATGTGGGTTCTCAGAGTCTTTCTTCACCCATGTAGCATGAACGCGCGACGTCATCGTCTTAATGGTGTGCAGTATTTTGTGCGATGCACGATGTTGCTTGCGGCTGGTTATTGCCGTGTGGTCCGCGCTTTCGTCTTTGGTGCTGCTCGCACGTGGTCGCTGACGTCGCTGCTCGTTGCCCTTGCGGCCGCTCTCCTCTTAAGGTAAACGTGGGCCAAGTCAATTGCGACAGAGACTACTCGCTGTGCCGACGGTTTCACGTGGCAGGGTACCCGACCCTGGTGCACGTGCACAACCGAAGGACTCGCGTATACAAGGTGAGAGAAAACGACTACAATTGAATAGTTCAAGGCACGCCAAACCGCCATCGACGATCCCTAGCTGAAGAGGAGCAGAGCGGGGGCAAGCGCTCCGTTGGTGGGATCAACGACCCCCCCCCCCCCCCCGCCCCGCCCGTCTGGCCCGCATACCCACCGCAGAAATCTCGAGGGAAAGAAGCGCTGGTGGCGTTTGCCCTCAACGGTTACAAGAAGCAGGTGGCCGTCTCGGCGCTCAAGTCGCCCTTCGGACCGTTGGAAAACTTCAAGGCCCTGGTCGCGAGGGAGGCGTTGCGCGCCAAAAATTTCGTGGTATCGACAATAGAGAAGGGAACACCAATGTGAGCTCGTAAGCCTTGCGTGACGGGCGGGCGCACGGGAGGTTCGTGATGTTGGTGGAAATGCGGGCAGGGAAAAGCCAACGTTAGCAAAAATGCGGGTGTACGCCCCCCTCTCTCTTCTACACACAGACCCCATACGCTCGTCGAGTATATATTTCGCCTCTACTATTGTGTTTTACACCTTCCCTCGTTTGTCGCGTTTTGCTTGCGACTGCGATCTCGACCGCCTTCTGTTTCCTCCACCTCGCAGGTGGATGGTCTGCCTTTGTGCGGTGGCGGTGCTCGTGGTGGTGACCGTAGTTGTCGCGACTGTGCTCGTCAGCGTCAAGCGACCAAAGGAGGACTGAAAAATCCGTTACCTCTGTGTGTAGGCGGGAAGATTCGCCGCTGGCCTGGCCCGAATTCGATCGACGTCGTCTCCTACTTGGCCGTCTTTGTCGTCCTCAAGGAACGCTTCGCCTTCGGCGGAGGGAGGAAACGCCTCCGAGAAGCTGGAGATAATGGAGTCTCGAAAGGGGGCATGCGCACGTGGACTGGTGCGGTTTTGTTCCGGACTCAGGCATTCTTGGTCATTTATAAGCATAGCAAACAAACAGGCGATGCGTTTTTGCGAGCGTGGTTGTTGCTCTTAGCAGGAGTAAAGTACAACGACATGTGTATAGAAAGGGGGTTCTCTCCAAGCAATATATATGTACTTTTTTTTTCTGTACCGTGCGTGTGTTGTATTAGTTCGATGTTCCCGAAGAGTTTCATCACAGCGAACGCTCCCGACGACCTGTTGGTTACCTCCCCACGCGGACGGCGCCTCGCTGCTCCAGTGACAAAGCGCCGATGAGACGGTCCGGACGTGAATCGGCTATTCTTGTCCGACTTTGTCACACCACCGTGTGATGTTGTACCAAATAGGTACCTGAGATAGCTTACAGTCCCGACCTGAGGGCTGTATCATGTTGCCTCGTTGGCATCTTGTGTGCTTGAAGTACGTACCGAGGGGCTTGGGGAGGAAAATTTCTTATCCCGGTCGGAGTCTCGTTGTCGTAGCGGACTCGGTAGAGAAGGTGTTTGTGGGGCAGAAGCGGGGGGTGATGGGGAGTCAGTAGTTCGAACAACAGGTTGTGTAGCTGGCTGCTGGCCCGCAGCAACAGTGCTACCACCGTGTTACGTCGGACCGCCCCGAGGTGTACCACGTGGGTAGCATCTAGATTGATCTTGTCCCAGTACGTTGATGGTACCATATTTTTGAGTCGAAGTGGTTGAGGGTGGCGCCTTTCCGGCGCAACCCTAATTTGCGTGCGTGGGTGTGGGTGTCTTCCAAGTAGGATCGCCCGCGCTGTTTGTGTTTCTCCTTCTTGCATTGGTATCGACTGCTGTGTAAGTTACAGGCCGGCAGGCTGAGACCTGTGAAACGAGGTCAGCAGTGTCAGCCACACACGAGAACAGCGGCTGTGTACACTGCACTTGGTTTGACAGCTGCTGTAGCTCGTGCCAACAGACCAACCTGATGAATATTTGAAGTTTTCCATTTTTGTTGGTGTGTGTTATGGCGAGTGTCAAATTCCGTCAAAACAGGTTTACTCGAACAGCGTTTTTGCGGCGGCGCGGACGGTGAAGGCCTTCTATATCTATGATGTACCACCACAATATGTCTTCAGTCGTTTGGTAAGTTCCCCGAGATAGGCCGGGCAGCACGCTGCTTCTATCGTTATGCGGGTGACTTCTAGGACAGCACATGACCACGTGTACTCTAGACTCAACGGCCACACAGTGAACAGAAAGTAAGTGTGCTCCATGCCTGGGGAGCCCTCTCGGTGCAGGCGAAAAACTTGTTTCTTGGCTACATCTAGAAGGTTACGCGAGATATGAATGAGCGCCGCCTACTTTTGTTCACATTGCTTGGACAACGTTTCCCCTTTTTTCTTCCGGTTGTTGTGGTCGTCCCGTCGACCCACTATGTGTTAATCATTCCGTTATTTTTGGCTCTCGTCTCTGCACAGGCATTGGGGTGTACGGGGCGATCTCACAGCAATTATTTGTTGAACTACGAGTATTCGGAAGTTTCCTGGTGCACGAATGCCCGAAAATCTTAAACATTTGCCGCTGTGCATAGTTTAACTTGTTCTGGCCTGGAGAAGGCAGTCCGACTTCTGTGCTTGAGTGACGAACTACCGTGTTTACCAGGATTTGAACGGGCCCATGAAGTGAACTCAAGAGGATTTACGAGCTACATAGCCTAGCCCTAGACCTCGGGGCGATCCATGATCGATCACGTTCCTTTGAGAGTTTGAGAGCAATCCACTGTGGGTCTCGATCAACTCAACTACGTACTACGTACAGTACACCTAACAAACCGTCTCCTTATCTTACGGAGTCAAGATTGTGCTTCACATCATATCAATGAAGCTTCTTGACAAAAGTTGGCAGCTAACAACAGCATACGTGCATGTGGTGATCACGTTGCCAGCCGGCGCGTCCTTTTTTTTTTTTGCAACAAGAACCATGATGGATGTCCCCCCTTCTTTGCGCTGGAGGGTACCCATTCTGTTCATTACAAAATCTGTCCGGGGCCACTCACATGGTACCAGCTGCAACGTGTGGAGCCCTGTCTGTTGTCCCCCCCCTCGCTCACCGCTCGTGGGAGAGAGAGCGCAGTTCGAGGTTGGAGAGCGAGCGGGAGCAAGAGCAGGAGAGGGTGAAATATGGTATGTATAGCTATCGCTTATTTGACTTTTTGTGCTGGCGGTGAAGTTGTTGGGATGCAAGGCGTCTTCTGAACCTTGAAATCTTCGGGAGAGAGTCCCGAGGTGTCGCGCCGGTGCCGAGGAGAGATCTCGCTGGTCTGTGGGATCAAGACCGCCAATAGTGTGTCCTTTATGGTGTGCCAAAGTACCCTCTTGTCGTACATTGTTCGCTGAGTCGAAACGCGGGTCGTTCTTGTTGGATGCCTACCTGCATCTGCCGGTTGTAGGAGCCGCGTTCTCGTGGCGAAGGTCTGCGTTACCGTGTGCTACACAAACAACCCTGCTCTGACCATGCCTGGTGTGCGCCGCCGATCCACAGCACGAACTAAGACTACAGTCAAGTTACTACAGCAGTCCTTTTCCTTCGTGAAGTTGGCTTGCTTAGGAACACAGTTTGTTCTGCCGTGTGGTTACTTCCAGGATAGCAGCAGCCATTTTGAACGGGCATTGAAAAGTACATCGTAGCAGTCCAAGACTGTCGTTTGTTCCAGCATGCAAAACCCAAGGCACTGCCGTACGCGTACACCTGCAACCACATGGGTAGTACATACCATTGCCCAAGAGCCCACCTAGAGGTCCTCCCTGACGCGGCACCTGTCCTGCTGTGCCGCATCCGTCGCCCATTCAGCCCTCCAACGCCTTATTTGTTGGGCACGAGCGTAAAGTACGGCACTCAGATAGATATGGAGGTATCGCACGATGTAGTAGGCTTCCCACCCGCCGAGCCTGGCCTCTGACGCCGCTATGTTTAAGTCTTACCTGTCGGATACCTCCTACTTCGGAACCGCGGGCATGATGTCGGGGGTAGAAAGTCGTTTCTCAATGTTAAACATGGGCAGGGAGGTTGCCATTGAGAACGATGACCACCTATGCTCGGTCTTGTGGACATTTTGGCCTGGATTCGGGTGGTACGACAACTCTTCCAAGTGTAACGGTGGGTCTTCGGCCCCCGTGTTACCGCGGTACGCTAGTTCTCCGGTTGGCTTTCTAACAACCCCGCCTCCGCCTCGCCTTCGCCAATGTTTTTCCGAGAGCGTCCCAGAGGTGTGACTGCTGTTGGAAAGCCAGTTGGACAGTATCCGCAATTACACGGGGACCAAGACCCAACGCTGTATTTCGCAAGAGTAGCGAACTACTCTAGGCGGGTAGGCGGGTGGTCTACTGCTGTTGCATATATAATTTTGAGGTCTTCGCCCCCCGTGTAGTTGAAGACGTTGTCCAGTTGGCTCTTCAACAACCTCGCCTCAGCCCCGCTTTCGCCGTTGTTTTACGAAAGCGAGACAGAGGCGTGGTTGTTGGAGAACCAACTGGGCAATGTCCGAAACACTCGAGGACGAAGACACAGGCTACATTTCGCAAGAGTCAACCAACTACTACAATAGGCGGGTGAGTAGGTGGGCCACTCTTGGAAACATAGCTATGGGTCATCGTCGCGTGGACTTATTGGCGTTCTCCAGTTGACTCTTCAACAACCCCGCCTCTGCCTCGCTTTCGACGAAGGTTTTCCGAATGCCAGGCAGAGGCGTGGTCGTTGAAGAGTGAACTGGAGGATGTCGGCATTTACGGCGACAAGACCCGCAGCTATGCTTCGCAAGAGTAGATCATCTGCTAGAAGGGTGACTAGTTGATCTACCCTTGCAAAATATGGGTATGGATCATCGTCCGAGTCAAATTGCAGGCGTTCTCCAGTTGCCTCTCCAACAACCCCGCCTTTGCCTCGCTTTCGTCAACATTATGTCGAAATCGAGGCAGAGGCGTTGTTGTTGAAGAACCAAGTGGAAAATGTCTGCAGTTTCAGGGACGATGACCCAACGCTATTTTTGCAAGAGTAGGCCAAGTATTATACTAGGCGGGTGTAATAGGTTGTCTGCTCTCGCAATGTAGTTTTGGCCTTCGTCCCCGTATGTTGAGGACCTTCCCCAGTTGACTCTTCAACAACCCCGCCTCTGCCTCGCTTTCGCCAATGTTATGTCTAAAGCGGGGCAGAGCCGTGGTTGTTGGAGAACCAAGTGGAAAATGTCTGCAATTTCAGGGGACGATGACCCAACACTTTTTTTCGCAAGAGTATACTCCCAGCTACTAGGCGGGTGACTAGGTGATCTACTCGTGCAATATTTGGTTGTTGGCCTTCGTTCAAGTTCAATTTTGGGCACTCTCCAGTTGGCTCTTCAACAACTTCGCCTCTGCCTCGCTTTCGTCAATGTTTCCGAAAGCAAGGCAGAGGCGTAGCTGTTGGAGAACCACGTGGAGAACGTCCGCAATTATGGTGACGATGACCCAATGTTATATTTCACAAGAGTATACTCCCAGCTACTAGGTGGGTAAGAAGTTGGTCTGCTCTAACGAACATAGCTGTGGGGTTTTGTTCGCATATGTTGAGAACATTCTCCAGCTCCTCTCCAACAACCCCGCCTCTGCCTCGATTTTGCCAATATTATGTCGAAATCGAGGCGGACGCGTGGTTGTGGGAGAACCACGTTGGGAATATCCGCGGTTGCGTCAATGAAGACCCCACGTTATATTAATGCAAGAATAGACCAACTACCAGGCGGGCGAGTAGGTTGTCTACTCTACGAAGATGTAGCTTTGGGCCTTCGTCGCCGTTTGTTGAGGACCTTCCCCAGTTGACTCTTCAACAACCCCGCCTCTGCCTCGCTTTCGCCAATGTCATGTCTAAAGCGAGGCAGAGCCGTGGTTGTTGGAGAACCAAGTGGAAAATGTCTGCAATTTCAGGGGACGATGACCCAACGCTATTTTTCGCAAGAGTATACTCCCAGCTACTAGGCGGGTGACTAGGTGATCTACTCGTGCAATATTTGGTTGTTGGCCTTCGTTCAAGTTCAATTTTGGGCACTCTCCAGTTGGCTCTTCAACAACTTCGCCTCTGCCTCGCTTTCGTCAATGTTTCCGAAAGCAAGGCAGAGGCGTGGCTGTTGAAGAACCAAGTGGAAAATGTCCTGAATTTCAGGGACGAAGACCCACACCTATATTTCGCAAGAGTAGGGAAGCTGCTAGGCGGGTGAGGTTGGTCTAGTCTTGCGGAGAAGAGCTTTGGGTCATTGTCACCGCAAGTGTGGGCCATGTCGACTTGGATTTTCAACACCCGGGCCTCTGCCTCGCTTTCGCCATTTTAACGGAAAGCGAGGCAGAGGCGTGGTTGTTGGACAGTCAAGTCGACACTGTCTGTACGTGCGGTGACGATGACCCAAAGCTAAGCTCGCATGAGTATTGACCAACTACTAATAGAGGACAGTGAAAAGTTGGTCTCGGCCGGTGAGTGGTTGGTCTGCTCTTGCAAAATACAGTTTGGGTCATCGTCCCTGTAATTACGGGCATTCTCTGCGTGGACCTCCAACAACGCCTCTGCCCCGATTTCGACACAAAATTGGCGAAAGCGAGGCATAGGCGGGGTTGTTGAGGAGTCTAGTGGACAATGTCCTCAGAACACGGGGAAAGAAGACCCAACGCTCTGTTTCGCAAGAGTAGACCAGCTATGAAATAGGCGGGGAAATGGTTGGTCTAGGCCGGTCAGTAAGTGGTCCACTTGATGATAGCAAGATATATTTTGGGCCTGATCTCCACATGGCTTTTGAGGGCATTCTCCAGTTGCCTCTCCAACAACCACGCCTCTGCCTCGCTTTCGATAGTACTACGCCGAAAGCGGGGCAGAGGCGTTGTTGTTGGAGAACGACGTGGAGAATGCCCGCAATTACGGTGACGATGACCCAACGCTATATTTGTGAGAGTAGACCACCTATGAGGCGGTTGAGTAGTTGCCACACTCTTGCCTAGTGCGGCGGGGCCATCGTCCGAGTCAAATTACAGGCATTCTCCAGTTGGCTCTCCAACAACCCCGCCTCTGCCTCGCGTTCGCCAATTTTGTGTCGAAATCGAGGCAGAGGCGTGGTTGTTGGAGAACCAAGTGGAAAATGCCCGCAATCACAGGGACGATGACCCAATGCTATATTTGTGAGAGTAGACCAACAATAACTCATCCGCCTTTTGGCTGTTGATATCCACAAGATCCAGCAACAGGCGGTCATTATTCTCATTCGCAACCTCTCCACCCTTAACGGTATTGAGAAAGGCGCTTCTTCCCCCCCACCGTGCACGGGACTTGTCCGAAGCCCTGCTCAGTTCTGATTAGGACAAGGCACACGCGTTGGCAGGGTACTCCCCACCCACTTTTTTCTCCTCAAGTCTGGCCGGGTCGTATTCCCGCCGAACAAGACGATGTCGACGCAGCAGCATCATCAAAAATTGCCCCGTGTGCCCCCCTTGCCCAAACCTCCAGGCCGCCGATACCGCGGAACAACAACACCAGCAGATGCTGACCTCGAGCGATGAGGACTTCTGGGCCGCCGTGGCGGCTCAGGTGGCGAAGGAGGGATCCAGCACGACTCCCGCGTGGCGACAGGTCGGCGTTGCTCCCCCGACGAGCCCGTCTTCGGGCGACAGCGGCCACGGCAGGGCCGGGACCCGCGGCAAGGCCAAAGGTCCCGCCGCCGCCGCTTCCGCTGCGGAGGTGGAGGCCGCCGGGGTGTGCTGCGCGCTGTGCGAGGACAAGTCGGAGGGGCGGTGGGTGACGAGGTGTAAGGGGTCTGGCGGCGGCACGGGGACGAGGCAGCAGCAGACGTGCAACATCTGGGTCCACCCTGCGTGCGCTTGGCAGGCAAGTTTTTTTTCCTTGCTTGTGTTTTTGTTTCTACTTTTTTGGCGGCACAGCAGCAAAAGGAGTCCGAAATTTTCTACTTCGAAGTGGGTTTGATTTGTTTTGTCTTCTCTAGTTCTCGGCCGCTCTCTGGTAGAGACGATGCCGGTTTTGATTATTCCCACGATCTTTCCCTGAGATCCCGTGGTACTTTGTCATGCCGTCCAAGCTTTCGGGACATGCGGGAAGCACATGTAAATGGTGGGAACTTTGGACCAAACTGTGACGTTCGTAGTAGTCTTGTGTGAAGATTTTTTTGTTTTTTTCCGTGCTATTTTGTCGAATAGAAGCAGCACACCCCGACCAAACATACTTCAAACAACAACCAACGGTACGCTTTCTCCGATAACAACACAGCGGTAGCCGTAAGCCGAAAAACGAAAATCGTTAACATGTTCGTTCATCTTGTTTTATTTTGTTTTTTGCCTTTAGAATGAAGGGTACGCGATGAGGTCCATCGCCGGGTCCTCTCGCCTGACCGCGGACGGAGAGAAGAGGAGACTGCCGACGGTGTTCTTCGCATGCCCCTTGCACGACAAGCCGGCCACTTACTGCTCGTGCAAGCGCGAGGAAGGGGAGGACGAGGACGGAGAGTGAGTATTTTGGTTGTAGTTTTTGTACACAGCGGTTAGGGCCCGCACTCAAGAACCTCTTTTCTGTGGAGGGCCCTGTGTAGTGCAGGTAGTGGCCAGAGAATTGACCGGCCCTGTACATGGGCACTATTCAAAGTACCGAATGGCTTGTGATGATTCTGTTCCAGCCGAATAACCGGCACCAATCCGGCACCGGCACTAAACAGGGCCCCCCAGTAGTTTTGCCGCGTTTCTTGATTTGTCTATGGGGTGCGTACCCCCACGACGACTTTGTAGGTTTTAGCGTACGCTACTTGACTGAGCAGCTGTTCTTATGGCGAAGGTCGTAATAATGTATCTGTTCTGAGCCCCAAGTTCCCCAAGTGCGCGCGTCACGTCTCGTACGATGTTTACCTCCGTCCCGAGCACGAATGGACAGGACAGGATGCTGCTACCATCAGCTGGGGTCATACCTTTATCCGTGGTATTTCCATCGCGGCCGATTACAGGCGTGCTGTGTTAGTTTGAGGCTGTTCAGCACCAACTCGGTTTTCTGCTCTCCCTTCACAAACCCAATCAGTGAACTTTTTTTTTTCATTTTTCTTTTTCCCGACGTTCTTATTTTTTGGTGGGTGGGTGGGTGGGCACACAAATGACTGCCTTCACAACAGAGAGGACTACATCGAGTGCGAGAGCTGCAACGAGTGGTACCACTTCTCGTGCGAGGGACTCGATGAGGACAATCCCCCGGAGAGGTACTCTTGCAAGCGGTGCCGGCAGCTGGCGGCCAAGGGGCAGAAGGTGCCGGCGCAGGAGCGGCGCCGCAACAAGGCCAAGACCAACGAGTACCTGTCGGAGATGGTGAGTGGGAGGGGAAGCGAGCGGAAAGGGTGCATGTGTGTATCAATAGCCTTCGCCGACATGTACATGAAAACGCGATTGTGTGGGTGTCTTTTAGTTAGCATCAACAGTGCTAGCCGGCTGACCAATGGAAGACCTCAGTCTTTTCGATACAAAGCGCGAACGCTCTTTCTAGTTCAAGGGATCTACTGGGACATGGGACGCGTCTTTCTTTTACACGAGCCCAAACGACGCTGCACCGGACACACTAAACCACGAGCTTGTTAATAGGAATGTTTATGGCTTTGACCCGACCCGACCAGCGTGGCTGACCAATTACCGGACGCGCACCAACCTCACACCAACCTCACACCACTGAGGCAGACCGCCTACTCTAAACCCCCTATTACCTGGCCCAAATCATGCCGACGTGACGACAAATGGACCGGAAATCATGAATACAACAGCTCGCCAACAAGGTGATGCAGATCCAGCAGTGGGTCAAGGAGGTCAAGGTTCTTGCCGCGACGAACACGGCCGGCGGCGGCGCTGCTGCTACGAGCGATGCGGCGGCGGCGGCGGCGGCGCAGGCCCGGTACGCCTCCGTCAAAGATCTCCTCGCAAGGCGGGAAGAACTCGAAGCACCCCTAGAGGAAGAGGAGGAGGAGAGCAACGCTAGGGGGGGCAAAGGCGGGAGGGGCAGCGGGGGGGCCCGCGGTGGTGCCCGAGGGGGGGGCGGCGGCGGCGGCGGCGGCGGAAGCAGCAGCGGGGGTAGCGATGCCGGCGACGAGGAGGACGGGAAGGTGGTGCACGGCATGGGGGGCGTGTACGCGGAGGCGTCGGCGTTACTGGAGTCGGTGGCGGAGGAGTCGGACAGGGCGGAGGGGGCGGTGGACGAGTGGTTCGACGAGCACCCGGTGAGGGAAGAGAACCACAATATAGTGCGTCCTCAACACTGAACAGTACTTACAACGAAGGGCGAAACCCACACAAGCATTTACTTTCATTGCATCGCCAAAACTGAAAATCATTGAATGATCCAAATCTCAACTACGGTAGATTTGTATCTACCTTGGTCGTGTACTATTTATATTTTACATGTGACGAGTGAAGCCGTGGTGGGTGGCTGGGGTCGGAAGCCCTTCATGACCATGGGAGCACTTCACTCGCCTCCTCTTGACTACCCTTTGCCATGGAATTCGTGACCCCTTCCCCCCCACCACCCCTAGCCCCCCTTGTCTTCGTCCTCTCGAGGACGCGTGGTCGATGGTCGGACCGCTAAGGCAAGCAAAACACAAGTACGCTCCCCACCCTCCCCCTAGCTCGCTCTCGCCGCTGCCCCCGTTCTCCGGTTGCAAAGATAGCACACCTCCACACCTCCTGGAGTGATTTCCAAAACTCGATCACTCCACGACGAAGAGGATGTCAACCTGAGACGACGTGTTTTGGCGAAGCTCTCCACGAGACAGTGCATCGCCTCGTATTTTCGGCACCGTCGCCGCGCGTGTTGGCTTGCAGAGTAACCGAGCTGTGACAATCGTACCAGGGGGTGCGTGATGTCTTTCGCAGCCCACGGTTTCCCACACCACCACCACCACCACGCACCCGCATATACACGGAACGCCCCTGGTACAGTATATATGCATTCCCCCAACTTACACAACGCCACCACTGAGGAAGAACCCTTGATTTAGCAAGCGTGTTCGCGTTTTTTATCCCGCAATAATACTGACGTTTTCTCATTGGTCAGTAACCGGTCAACACGGTCGATACTAACAATACACACACACACACACATGCAGGAGCCTTACTATAAGAAGTCGGACGGAGGGGCCCGCCTCGGCTACTGGAAGACCTCCGTCAGCCCGCTCGAGGCCGAGGTCGGGCAGCTGGAGCAGCTCGTCGCATCCGCGCGGTCCGCGCGCGCGGGGCCGCCGGCGGCGGTAGCGGCGGCGGAGGACGCCCTAGCGGCCGCCCGGTGGGTCTTGAAGGCGGTGGTGCTGTTAACCGGAGGGGCCGGCGGGGCGGGGGCGGCGGGGTTGCCGGCGTTTTCGGAGGTGTCTGCGCTGCTGGACAACGCGGTGAGATAGCGCGGTCGGGGGGGGGTCGGGGCTGTGGTTCTCGTGCTTTTGTTGGAGCGATATGTGTAGCGCAAGCAAGGACGATGGAGGATGTTTGGGACACGCTGGGTGTTCCTGACGATGTGTTGCCTGGACCGCCGGGCGAAAACTCGTTGACAGTGCTGTGCATCTTCATCCACGTATATTGTTGCGGCGAGGACAACGCAGAAAACGGACGTGGAAACGGAGGCTGCCACTACTATGACTGCTGCTTATTGTGTTGACTTTTTTTTTTCTTTCGTTTCGCCTTTTTTTTGTGTTGGTCGGTTGGGCGGGGGCAAACACAAAAACCTTATTGGCAGGGAGAGGCGATGGCAACGAGTGCGGACCGGCGGGGAAGGGCGAACACCGCCTGGCAGCACGTGAACGACATTAGGTAAGCGTAACAGAAGTGTTGTCTAAACTTATTATATGCGCTCACACTTTTGACGGTGCTTGGTTTCCCGTTTTTACATACTGCTGGCACGAGCGTGTGCATCGATTGACCGTGATGGCAACATTTGTCCACTGCTCCCGTGAGTAGTCTGATGATAAACAACACACGAGACCCCTTCAGGGCTCCCAGGTTCCTCTCGGCTCCTTGCGGGACCAGGGATAATTACCGTGATACCGACTCCATGGTTGCTGTGCGTGGGTAGGTTTTTGAGTCACGTACGTATTCCTAACAATCTCAACGAGAACGAACGGAAAGGGCACCACAAACCCGACCGACTGCCGAGAAGTCTTGCCAGTATCTTTGTACGCACACTTGCAATCGAGAGGTCCTATTTTCCCCTTTGGAAACGGACGTCTGATCATCGGTGGCATCCCCGCGCAGTAACACCTGAAGTGAAGAGAGGGACAGGGAGAGAGGGACAGCGGGAGAGAGAGAGAGGGAGAGAGGGAGGGAGAGAGAGACGCAAACTCAACGTTTTGCCTGTTATATACCGATAGAAAAACGCCTCTTCGTTTGGCATCTAGCAGCGGTCTAATCGAAGAAAAAATGCATACGCGCACATGTACATGTACACATGCAACACTCGCAGGAGTATGGCGACCCAGTGGATCAGGCGTGCCAAGACATGCCTCCGTGCCGACGGTGCTGCGGCGGGCGTGACTTTGGCCGTGATGCGGCGACACCTGTCCTCGGGCGACGCGGTGCCGGTGGACATGCCGGAGTACCACGAGCTGGAGCGCGTAGCGACCGAGTGGGAGGCGTGGGAGGTGACAGAGATAGATCGAGGATAGACAGGGGCAGAGGCACAGAGGGAGGAGGAGGAGAGAGACAGAGACAGGCAGACGGACAGATAGACAGGCAGACATCGAGAGACAGAGTTTAGATATAGCGACGACAAGGTTGACACGAAAGACACGGGCAGAGACACACAAAGAGAGAGAGAGGCGAGAGAGAGGGGGCACGCACCTTAACAGACAGAACGATTGCGACGTGCGAGAGAGGACGCTCCTCCCTTACTATACCCACCCTTCCTCTGACCCTTGGTCACAAAGGCAATAGCAAGCTGTGTTTGTTTTCGATGCTCAATTTTTTTTATTTTTGTGCGTGGTATATTGATTTGCTGCCACCGCTGTTTGCCGCCGCTGCCGCTACTGCCTGTAGGCCTCAGCGCCGCGCGTCTCTCTCTCTCTCTTTTGCTGACCCTACTATTGTGCATGGTTATTGTTTTGACTGCTGTTGTTTTTTTGCCATTGTCTGCCGCTCCCACTATTAATGCTACTGCTCCTGTTCCTAATCTCCCTGTATCATGAAGTCTCGAGCACTGCGCTGCGCGGCGACCCTGGAGGCTGTCCCTCTGGAAGATTTGGCGGGGACCCTCACCGTGTGCTCCCCCACGCCCCCAGGCGAAAACGGCAAGGCCGACGAGGACGCTTCGGGACTCTTGCAAGGTGTGTCATACACTGCACCAAAAAATAAGCTGCTGTCGTTACGTTACTATGATATAGTAGCAAACGCGTGCCACAAAACCTCTTGATCATGTTTCTATGTACATACCAATATAACATTTCTAATTGTCTCTCCGACACGACGCGGAGGAAGGTATTATTTTTTTCTTTTTAAGACGTGCCGCATATGCCAAGAAGATGGGATGGGAGGTATGGCATGGTGTAGTGTCCTTCTCCTGTGGAGGGTGGAGGGTCTTCTGCTGTCCGGTCCGTCGCGGGTGTGACGTCCGAAAGGTATTCACCACTTTTTCGTGTCTCTCGGTTGTCGTCGAACCTCTACCTTCGGTACCCCCCCCCCCCCCTCCGCGTCCTTGCTCCGTGATTGTTGCATCGATCCTGCGCTTGTGTTGGTTTGTTCAGGTCTCGCATGCGTGTTGTTTCGTCCATGACTGTGAGTTGCTTCTCGTTTACGGTGTCTTCATGTGGTTGCGTCGGAGCACGGTCGCGGACGACGGTGCCAAAAGATGCCCGCCATAATATTCCGTTAGTTAGAGCTATATTTGTACTTCATTTTTTCCGAGAAGTTGTGCATAAGTTTTAATACAACACAATTTATTCGCAGAAAACACGATCACGATTGTACGCAGTTATCAGGGGGAAAAAGGAGGTTTTGATTATTTACTCGACACACCCCGTTCCGTATACGCATGTTTTTATTCTTCTTTCGTTTCGCAGAGGCGGCGGCGTTTTCTCACGGCATCAAGACGTCGGCCAAGGACGCCCTGACCAGGGCCCTGGGCAGGAAGGGTTGGGCGCAGCGGGCGGTTGCGGTGATATCGTGCGAGGCCGTCGGTATCGCTCGCCCCTCGGTTGCCTTGACGCAGGTGTGGTGGTTTGGTGCTTTGGCCGTGTTTTTTTTCCGTCACGGTTGTCGTCCTCGTCATCGTATTCATGGCGACGGTGGTGTATGTTTTTGTTTTGTTTTTTTTGCGATTTATGTGGTACCTGGTATGCCATAAGAGGTGGACAGTCCCCCCCCCCCCCCCCAGACCGATTTTGAAAGCTCGAATGCTGCACAACCGAGATTGTGCCAACGATCAAATGGTGGTTTAGGAGAACGTCTCGAGAGGTTTCCGTAGAAATATCGGGCTCTTTCCAAACCTCCTTGGTTTGTGGAGCAATCGACCTTTGAAGCTCGGCCTAGGGGGGGGCATCTCTCCTCCTCTGTGTCGTTGTTGGGAACATACGCGAGCGCTCGGGTTCGGCGACAGATTCTTTGCCATCTTTGTCACTGGTGGACGGTGTGGCGTTGGAGGGGTCAGTTGTAGCTTGCGGATGTTTGGTTCTCAAGGGTGATCACGTTTTTTTTTTTGTTCATGGAACGGCCTGCTCTCTCTTTGCCTCGGGGGCCCTTTTACCTCCACACGATGCGTTCGTTCCTCGCTAAAAACAAAACACCTCGTGGTATTCCGTGTTGATATTTACACACACAAAAGAATAAATCACACAATCCGTGCTCTCAAGTTCGGTGCAAGTTCTTCGCCACCGCACACCGCCGTGCACTCATTCGTATCAGCACACACACGCCTTCCCGTCCGGATCTTTGTCGGCAACGCAGTCGCTCATGACGGAGGCTGGCAAGCTCGGGCTCCTGAGGGCCGCCGGGGGCGCCGTGTCGCCCCTCGTGACTAAGGTTAAGGCGCTCGCGGAGGGGGAGGGTCCGGCAACCAGGCGAGTCGTGAGCCAGTGGAGGGATTGTCGCCCCTAGAATGCTGTCTTGTCTTGTTGGTCGTTTTCTTTTCGCGGTGGGAGTGGTTCGGCGGCCGCGGTTGTTTTTTTGTTGTTGCCGTTGCTAGGGAAGCTGCTGTCTTTTTTGACAATTTCGTTTGCACACCGTGGGAGTGATTGGGCGGCCGCGTTGTTGTTTTCTTCGTTGGCAATGTTGGGGGAAGAAGGTTTTGCGGGATAGGGACGCGCTCGGTCGCCCACGGCCGGAGAACGCCGTGTTTTTCGACATGAAACCCTCTTGTCGCGACCGTTTTTTACGACTGGGACAGAAAACGACGAACGACAGCGGCGCGTGTTGGGTGAAGTGTTGCTTTTTTTACTTTCCGTGCAGGAACGTGCATCCCTTTGTGCACCCTTTTTTGGTTGCCTGAACAACACGTTGCTCGACAATGAGGCTCTCGAGACCCTGTAGGCGATACAGCACCACTACATTCTTTCGATAACAATGCTGTGGAGATCTGCTGTAGGCGATATGGCAACCCTACCTTGTTCTCGATAATAAGGCTATTGAGAGCTGCTGTAGGTGACACAGCAATACTACCGTTCTGGATAACTCAAGGCACCGAGATACGCTGTAGGCGATTTTGCAACACTCTTCGTCTCTCGTTAACTCATGGCTCCCGAGATCGATCTGCTGTACATTGGCGATAGCGAAAACTTTTTGTCGCCTTCCGCCAGCACAACGGTTATACATCGTTTGGCAACTCTCGACGGACGACCACCTGCAATACAACAGCAGCAGCAGCGGTCTGACTCCTTTTTACACGGCCCCCTTTTTTTCGGTCCGGCGCAGGGCTAGGGATCTGCTCAAGCCGGTGGAGGAAGGGGGCCTGAGCGAGGCTTCCAGCGACGCGGAGTTGTGCGGTGCCGAAGGCGTGCTGGGCAATCTGCGCGCGACGCCCGTCGTCTATCCCGAAGAAGAGGTGATCTTTCCTCAAGTGGTTTACACGTCATGTTCCGTATCTTGCATTGGACAAACACCACCCGTGGACCGATTTTTCAAAGCATGCCGTAGGTTGCAAGGCATGCCACACGCCCTCTACCGATTTGTCCGAGCTGTGGATTACTCCGCAGCGGTGGCGGTGCCGAAAACGGCGGCGTTGGGAACAGCTCCTCGGCGAGAGGTTTTACCGAAAACGCCATCGTTTGTGACTATGGTCTTTGTCCTCAACTGGTTTACACGGCATACCGTGGGTTGCTTAGGATATCACACGCCCTGGACCACCGATTTTCAAAGAAGAAGCAGTGGCGTGGCGGCGCCGACAATGGCGATGTTAGAACCTTCTCGTCCAAGTTCCCCAGAACGCACCACTTGCGATTTTGGAGTCCCCTGCGGGTGATTGCCCTGTGAAATCGGTTCAGGGGGTGTGGTATGCAACGTAAGGTAGGGATGCAGGCGCGTTTTTGCATTTGTGGCTGCAGTCATTGTCGTCGTTGTCGTCGTTGTGACTCTTGATGTTGCTTTTCCGCTGCGCAACAGAGTGTGTTGTGATCCTTTCCTGACTTGCGCCCCCCCCCCCCCCCCCCCTGGAATGTGGCAAGGGCCGGGGCCTCCGGCTGGCCCCCCTTGGGGGGAACAAACCTGCTTCAAACGGACGTGTAAAATTCTGGAGCCATCAACGGGGGGGGGGGAAAGCTTTTCCCGGATACGGTGGGCTATTCCCATCCCAAAAAA